ATATCTACGCGTAGATCATGATGTTCTGTGAGAATCGCTGAAAACTGTTTTCCAAAATTCGCAGCGGGTAGTGTACAGCATCGATTTCTGTGGAACCCAGTAGCTGTCAAAACTTTCACATTTTTACGAATAACTCGGAAATCGTAAATTTTTCAGGTAAAACGGTTGAAACAAACATAAATTAAAATTGAACGGCCAATCTGAAAATAACAAAAAAAATGGGGAGTTTCATTTAAAAAACCAGAGTTGGTAACTACCACACGTTTATGATGCACCCTGTATATTGGAAAGTAATTTTAGAATGTGGACCTTTTAAACGTGAAAAACTTTCGTTGGACGAATTTTCTTGTAAACTTCATATTTAATGAGATATCGCACTTTGACGCACTAATGAGCAACCCTGTATAAGCACCTAAAAGCGTATATGTAGCATGTGATGCTGATGTTCATTATTATAAACCAGATGTTTATTGCAGGATCTCCGTAGGCTATCCCTGAATCGGAGATTCTGAGTTTATCTGCATTCATCCAGGGACCTGGATACGGGTGTTCATGTGTATCAGCCAGATGACTAGGAGAAAACCACCACAGACTGGTTCAATTGATGGCAGGATGATTGATTTGTTGCTTAAATTCGTTGAACTATGCTGCCGGTTTATTACTCTTATTTACACGTTTAGCTCCACCTCAGCAACCTTCTGGACGCTCTATATTGGTCGACGTCAATCTCACGTGGATTCGTGGCTTGGGCTCTAACTGGTGATTTCGAGTGGCAGTTTATTGCATTTTTACACGTTTATTACACGTACGAAATTTCCATCTTTATTAAACCCAACTACACTTAATGCTAATGTGGTTTTCCAGAATTCAACTTGGCTTGTACCAGGACGACTTCTGGTCCAGAAACGCCCAGAACTGCAAAGGATCACTCGGCTTATTACCGACAAGTCGTCACCCCCAGGTGTTTGGTTGATGAATGCACTGATAATTGAATTATAAATAAACATTTTTTTCTGTCTTGTTTTGGTTTGCTTCTGATTCCACTTCCTTATAGTTGTATTGTGTTTGCAATTGGATTATTGCAGTAATTATTTGATACTAATCAAGTTTAATGCGCCTTGAAAACAGTTCTTAGCCTTTTGCTCATATTTGGAAGGTTGGTTGAAGTACAGAGCTATAGTTCCCACTGAGAGATAGTGCCTTAAAATGTACACATTTTTATTTCAAACATCGTTTAGAAATGTTCCTGTTTTCTCGCAAAATGCTGACATTCAAGATCAATACGTGAGTTGAAGACCGCTCTTAGTTCTTTGTTCATATTTAGACAGCGAGTTGAGTTCCTCGAAAAGTTACCTTCAGGTTTTGTTAGCAATTGAGCTATCTGATTCTTCAAACGTGAAAAAATTCATTCAGAGACTTTGGTTTTTACAAATTGTCAATTTTGGTCAATTATTACTCTAAATTAAATCTCACTGTTTAAAAATTATGAAGGTAAGTATATAAGAGGAAGAATTATGATGAAATTTCAATTTCTGTGTATGTTTCTTTGGTCTACTATTTAGAGGTAATTATTTGAAATATACCAAATAGAAATATTTCAAGTTGATCATAAAGCGTTTATAATTAAGTAACTTGGGAGCGCACTGAAATCTGAAAGTGTATAAACAGGCAAAGTTAAAGAGATGTTTAATTTCAAGTTAATTATTACCTGCACAGTATCATTTAATCAGCACAAGGAATATTAAAGGTCCATTAAGAAAAGTCCTGCATAGATTCATGTTTACAATAGGCATGTTATTAAACATGCCGCGCTAACAGAAAACAGAACCCCCATAAAGATATCTGAAAGGGTACGTATGATCGTTACATATGGTTTTTATAGACTTTTTCTTGTCTAATAAAGATCTTCATAACAACTAATTGTGATACTAAATGGTTAATATTGTTTAGACAATTAGCACCAAATAATGTATAAATTATGGCCTCCAATTGGCCGTTAGCGCATCTTTTAATATGCTCAATTTATTGGAAGATGCGTTTAGTAAATATTAGCAGGTATTACGATGTGTAAAGTTCAGTAAGTAATATCGCATTATAAACATCTACTTTTTAAGAGAAATTGTCCATTGAGAATTTTTGATTTCTAATTGTTCCAATTCATCCTGCTCCCGCGGCAGCAAAACGACAATTTCTTACCAGCGATCTTAAATTACGAATGTCACATAAGTGTACGAGTTTTATGAACTTCCGTGCAACATAAAAACCAATCGTAAAACGTTTGATAAATGGAAAACCGAAAAAGCGACGTAAATAATTTTCTGCCAGTTTATTTTTGTTTTAGTGCCACCGGTGAATCTTTTGTAACGTGAGGAAGCGCAATGCCAGTACAGAACTTTGAGACCGTTAAGAAGAATTATGATGGTAATCAGCTATTTGGCATGAGAATTATTTGATTCATTCAAAATAATAAGATAATATTGAAACCTGATGGTGAGCGATTCTTTTGAGCTTTAGTTTCTAAAGATAAGATAATTTTTGGTATCGTAAATGCTTTAGGGGGTGGTAAACAAACAATTTTTTTATTTTTTATTGCTCACTACTCAGCCAAGAATGCGATATCAAGCCACAGTGTTTTAGCCATAAAAACGAATAAAAGCCCAGAGCGGTTTGAGATTATTAGTTATTTTTATGATCACTCATGCCATCTAACAGCCTTAATCTTTGGCATAGATCACATACTATTTGCCATTGTCTGTCTAAATTCTAAGTTGGTATAAAAATGACCAAACTAACAAAAAAATTTGAAAATGTTGCTATCAATAAATTTAAAAATGTTGAAAAAAAAGTTGAAAATGTGCTCTAAGCTTAGAAATAACTTCTACTAAAGCGGGATACGCACACAGCAATCTGTAGGGTACTAACAGCAGATACAATCTTTGGACTTTAACATTTTTTAAGAAGAAATTTTCAGAAATTAATTACGGGATAACTAGCAAAGTGGATCGCCCAATTTTGCAGAATTTTGAGGAGAATTTCTTGCTCTAGAACTTTTGAAGGTTTCATTTTAATGCCAAATTCAGTGGATTTTGAGAAAAATTTAAATCTGTAACTGCAAGCGTGTAATTGCGGTTTGATAGAACTTTCAACCAAATTTTCAAAAATTAATATTGGCACTGTTTTGAGGAGGAAACTTTGCTCTAAAACACTTAAAAGAATCATATTCATATCGAAAACTCGTTAAGAAATTGGCACAATCGCAGCACTTAACAATTTCATCCCCACATCTGGTTTTGGGCGGGTTTTTCCAACTACCTTGAACACCTACCTACGATTTACGAAGGTTGTCCACATCTGTTTTCGATTAGGAAGACACAGAAGAACGTGACAAAACCCAATAGAAGAAATATACCTATCCGTCCTTTCCAAACTTTCTTCAATAACTTTTAGCAGGTTGTTTATAGATTGTTGCCTCTTTGTATAAATAATCCAGGTCTAATTTGGCCATACGGTGGCAAATATTGCAGTTGCCTTTGCAACATTTATTATTTTTTATTCAAGTACATGCAAAAGTCGCGGATGTGCTCTTTTTCGAAGCTCGAGCATGCTTTAAATGAATAAACGGCTGGTTTATGCGCACTACTTGGCAAAAAAGGTGTTAGTGAAGAAGGATCCAAACTTCAGTTCTCGCCTAACAAGAAAATTGGAAATATTTAAAAAATTTGCCTAAATATTCAGTTAAAACGACAGTCAGGCTCTGGGACTGGGCTAAAAATGTTATCGCCGACATTGTCACTTAAGCCCCAAAAATAAAATTGTTCCCCTTTCGACCCCGAACAGTGACGAACCCACTTATGGAACACCCACCGATGCGGGTGATCTTCACGTCAAAAAGTATAAAATTATCTCAAAGCCACAAAAGCCGCGGCTCTTTCCATTATATCTATCAATGCTCCCAGCCTTTGGTAATGTTTCGATACGAGTAAAGCTTTCATTTCCTATTAAATTAAACTTTATTCATATCGGCATTCAAATCTCAATTCAATGCATCCTTTTACTGAGATTTTGACCAAATCGAGACTTCTTAAACGATGCCCTTCGATAAACCCAATATATTTCTGGGTTTTCCCAGTTCGAAAACCTTTTGCACGATTTCAGACTGCCCAACATCTGCTGGCCACATTTTATCTTCGTTTACTATTCTTCTCTTCTACGTTTCTTGACCATCGTTTTGCTCATATTAGTCGGCCCACACAGAGTAATATTTAAACGAAAATGCAAAACCAGCATTAGAGCTGCGAGAAACTTTATAACGGCCAGCCAAAAACAGGAATTGCATCCTTTCGCTTTGCACAAAACCGCTTAAAAAGAACCAAAAAAGGCAATTATTTGGTATCTGATGCCTCCCTTGTGTTTTTCGATAAGTTAATTTCTTTGTTATGAAAATATTTCAGAATTTAAACCATTGTGAGATGCTAAAAGTCGATTTTTTCGGATGCCAAGACTCTGGCGTGTTTTTCAATAAGCCCGATGCATCCATCGCTTCTTTGTAATGAAAATAATAATAATATAGAAATGAAGGCATTATGAGAGATATAATAGGTTTGTACCAGTCATATTGGCCATGTGGTATGGATTAAACGAACGATTTATACAAGAATCTTTACAACAGCTCCCCAAGAACACTTTTCCTTCAAGACCCTTCGTGGGTTTTTCCAAGGACCAGAAGTGAACGAATGCAGACAGATTTTCTAGCAGATCCAATTTAGTTTGACCATTCCTTCAGGCTTGGAATGTTGAATAGTTTAAACATAATGATAACTAATACTGAAAAATATACGTTAAACTATAGTACTTTATATGTCTTTATTTAAAACTGCACAACATAAATGAGACATATTTTCCTTCCTAAAAACATTTTATGCATATATCGTCGGTATGGAAAGTTCGTACATTGTTTTGATTTGCATTCTAAATGGCACGGAAATGTTGTGGCTTACTTTTGGCATTAAAAGCCGCATCTGTGGATCACAGCAATGGACGAACAACTGCAAGGTAAATTATTTAAAATTGTGTTTTTCGCTTTAAAGTTTTCTCTTTCGTACAATTGACTTAGGAAATCACATTTTTATCTACAACGAATTTGGCACAACCCTGTTGTATTTTTGTACTTAAAAGTTCACTGTTAACATAAACATGTTATAAAGTTAGAACTTGAGTAAAAACATTTTAAAATAAATTTCTTAGTTAGATAATTGCGTTTTTGAACCGTTAGCTGCCGCTTGTATTGTACAAACCTATTCTATTTGGGATTTAATGAGTGGGATTAAAAAGTTGTAAAAGTTGTAAAAAACTTTTTGTATCGTAATAAATCAACGTCGATACTATTTCCCAAGTTAGTGGGAGTGGGGGGTTTTTTATTATTTTAAATAGAATTTCTTCTAATCTTCCAATCAATCTTGTATTTTTGCATCTTTAACCACTAATTGATGAATGTGATATAAACAAAACACAATGCTAACATAAAAAAATTCACAACGGCAAAGAAAAAGATCAAACGTTGGTGAATTCAAAAATTTTAAAAGAGCGCGCTGATGATGCCGACGGCTGAAGGAAATAAATATGAGCATGATTTTTTCTTTCTATACATAGGAATTAATATCGAACACGAAGCAAAAAGAGAAAAAATAGTAAATATCTTTCAGAAGATGAAGAATTCGCAAAAAAAGTTGATGAATGAAATGAAAAATAATGATGAATTGTATGTTTATTTTATTAACTATTTTATGATCAGATTTGCTATTTTTTATTAGTCTTTATGTTATTTAACTGTTTTCACTTTGTAATTAGTTTTTAATTTCCCACCTCTAGGTGGAATTTTTCGCTCTAAAAACATTTTTTTCCATACGTGTTTTTTAAGCTCAATGAATTGTTTTCGCCCTAAGAAGGTCCCCAAAAAACATATATAATGTTTGTACATTTATAATACGGCATCCTTAAAGTATCGCTGGTTAAAAATCG